GCCGGCATTGGTACCACTAAAACGGGATACTTAATTCGCTTCAAAGACTCAGGGTCGGCCGAAGCAGCCCGCAACAACACTGAATGGTTGAATGAGCTAGGAAACAACACAAAGCTGGTCAAGCCGCGGTTCGGCATCGTCGTACACCGCACCCCGACAGAGAACTTCGACCTAGAGAATGCGAACTCTCAAGCCATTCAAAGAATTATGGAAGAAAACGACCTAGCCGACAAAGGCTTCCAAATCGAAGAGTTGGCATGGCTTAAGCGGAAAGATAAAGTTCTGGGGAAGTTTGCGTCGCTTGGTATCTGGTTTGACTCTGCAGAAGGAGCCGAATACATCCTCAACAATGGTCTTCTTGTTGGACAAAGATATATCGGTAGCGTGGAACGCCGCGAAATCAAGAAAAAGAGGTGCTTCCGATGCCAACGTTTCGGTCACTTAGCATGGTCGTGCAAGGAAACACCACGCTGTGGACATTGTGCAGGTCAACACGAGCGGCAACGATGCCCCCCAGGGATCAGGGCTAGATGCCTGGATTGTAGCGGCGAACACCCAACTGGTGACCGACAGTGTGCTACACCCGCAACTTCCAACCCCCATCAATGTTAGAAACGAACCTGCGCATACTACAGTTGAACATCATGAAGTCGGGACCTAGGATGGAAGCACTCATCAACGACCACCAAACCCAAAACTTGGATGTACTTCTGATCCAAGAACCCTCGATCACCACCTACCAAACACATGTCAACCACAGCGCCTGGCGGCTATACCGACCAACCCTCGAGACCAACGCAGATCGATTCCGAAGTCTAATCTACGTCAACCAGCGAATCTCAACGTCTTCACACCGGCAGATTCTTTGCGATCACCCAGATATTGCCGCCGTCAAGATCTGGACAACCGACACTCAACTCCTCCTCTTTTCTGTTTATATCCCATCTGTCCCGCTGTGTACGCCAGATGATACGTCGGCGGAACCAGCATTCACCGCCATCCAAAACACGATCACAGCTGCTCTACGCGATGGTCGACGATCCACAAGTGTCGTCCTCGCAGGAGACTTTAACCGCCATCACCCAATCTGGGGCGGTAACCACATCCAACCGCGACTTATCGAAGAAGCAAGCGACCTTATCACCTTCTTCCATGCCAATGGTCTATACAGCTGCCTCCCCCGGGGGACAGCGACATACTGGGCTCTGAATGACCCCGGTAGGAACTCCACTATTGACCAGACGGTGACGAACCGACCAGACCTACTCATCAAATGCCATCTCTACCACGACAACTACGGGTCGGACCACCGTGCCACGTACTCGGAATGGAATCTCCAAGCTCAGTGTAAGCCCGCCACCAAGGCAAGGAAAGCGTTCGACCGAGCGGAATGGAACAAGATCGGCGAGGAGGTGTTGCGGCAAATCGGTCCGTGGAAGGAAATCAGAACACGACCAGCACTAGACGAGATGGTGCAGAAACTCAGAGAAACAACAACCGCAGCCGTAGATCGGTATACGCCTGATGTACGCCCGACTCCATATTCCAAGCGATGGTTTACCCCGGACCTCAAGGTTCAACAAACCAAGGCCAACCAGCTTCGCCGAAAATGGCAGGAATCCTGTGCCCAACTTGAACGAGAACATTTCTCATCTATAACCCTCTTCCGAGAGATGCAAGAAAAACGCCGGGCGTGGACCCGGGCCATTGAGAAAGCTAAAGCATCACACTGGAGACAATTCCTTGACGAGGCAGGGGAAGGGAAACTTTGGAAAGCGGCCACCTACATGAAACCCCGAGATGCCTGGGGGTGTACCCCAGCGCTGCAGGTCTGTACGAGCGAGCTAACTGGGAATGAAGAGAAAGCGCAGGCCTTCCTGGACTCCTTCTTCCCCGAAATGAATACGCCCTGCGACAGTCTACCAACCTCAACACCACTAGAGCTCCCGTGGCAACCCATCACTGAGCTAGAGATCCAACGATCTCTCAAAGCCGCTAAAGGAACCACCGCACCGGGAGATGATAATCTGCCGATGCTCGTGTGGAAACAACTATGGGTATACCTAAAGGGCATCATCACCAACATTTTCAACACATCTATGACTCTAGGCTACCACCCCAAGCAATGGCGGAACGCGAAGATCGTGGTACTGAGGAAGCCCGGAAAGCCAAATTATTCAGTCCCCGGGGCCTACCGCCCGATCTCACTGCTCAACACACTAGGCAAGCTTCTCGAGGCAGTAGTAGCCCGTCGACTTTCATATCTCACAGAAAAGCATGGCCTGCTACCAGACACCCAATTCGGTGGGCGCCCGGGAAGAACCACTGAACAAGCATTGCTGGTACTCTTGAACGCGATCGATTGGGCGTGGTACAAAAACAAAGTGGTTACTCTCGTTTCATTCGACCTAAAAGGAGCTTTTAACGGGGTCAACCAAACGAGCTTAGATGCTTGCCTGCGGGCTAGGAGAATCCCCACAGTCGCAAGAAAATGGATCGCAAGTTTTATGAGCGACCGCTATGCTAGCATAGGATTCGACGACTTCCGCACAGAGTTAGCACCACTAGCGAACGCTGGACTCGCACAAGGATCACCTCTCTCCCCGATTCTGTTCACATTCTTCAACTCCGATCTAGTCGACCAACCTGTTACCTTTCATGGTGGCGCATCAGCCTTTATCGACGACTACTTCCGCTGGCGAGTAGGGCGCTCGGCAGAGGAGAACCTAGCCAAAATACAGTCCGAAGATATCCCCCGCATCGAAGCGTGGGCGCAGCGAACTGGGTCCTGCTTCGCAGCCGAGAAGACCGAACTCATTCACCTGACCCGAAAAAGAGGAGAACACTTGCAGGGCCATATTACCGTGAATAGCACGACCGTCAAGCCATCGCCCATGGCTAAGCTGCTAGGCGTGATCTTCGACCAGGAGCTGAGATGGAAGGAGCATGTGCAACAAACGCGCAACCAAAGTCATTATTGCCTTGAACGGACTGCGACACCTTCGCCCAGAGCAGATGCGACAACTCTACCAGGCATGTGTAACACCAGTAGTAGACTATGCGTCAACGGTCTGGCACGACCCACTGCGAGACAAGACACACCTCCGACAGCTGAACACGATACAAAGGACCTCGCTGATCCGGATCCTGTCAGCATTCAGAACAGTGGCCACCACGACCTTGGAAGTGGAAGCACACGTTCTCCCCACCCACCTGCGTCTCCGCCACCGAGCCCAGAGGACCATCGCTAGCCTCCACACTCTACCACGGGATCACCCCATCTGGAGTGCGCTCTCACGAGCCCAGAAACGCAGGAATAATATCGGCTCGTACGCTCGCTTCCCGCTCGCGGAAGCGATGAAGACCATGAATATCGAGAGGCTAAACGAATTGGAGACCATCGACCCACGACCACTACCGCCGTGGCGTCTCGATCCCTTCGCTGAGATTGAGATCGAGTCTGATCGCGAGACAGCGGCACAGAAAGCCGAGACCACTCGCTCAACATCCGACGTTGTTGTCTACTCTGACGCCTCTGGTCGACAGGGCCACCTAGGCGCTGCCGCTGTTGCACTCGACAATAACCAAGTCATACTCGAGGCGCAGCAGGTCCAAGTAGGACCGATGAGCGGCTGGTCTGTCCACGTAGCGGAGCTCATAGGCATCTTCTACGCGATCAGTGTAGTGTTTAGGACCGCCCACCAACACTTGAGAACAGCAGAGAGGCAACTAACAGCTACGATCCTGTGCGACAGCCGGTCCGCCCTGCAGGCGGTTCAAAGCGTGAGAAACAGATCAGGACAACGCATCGTTCACGCAATCCTCCAGGCTGGCGCCGAGGTTCTAGCGGTGGGAATCGCCCTCCGCCTTCAATGGATGCCAGGGCATTGTGACAATCCTGGAAACGACGCTGCAGATCGATTAGCAAAGGACGCCGCCAGCCCAGGCAAAACCCGTCCTTTCCGCCCGCTCCTCACCAGAGAGAGGGCGTTCATCCGTCGGAACATCTACTCTCAGTGGGAACACGAATGGAAATCATCCACCAAGGGTGGTCACTTACGAAAGATCGATAACACCCTGCCAGCAAGCTACACTAGGAGGCTATACGGGAACCTGCCGAGAAACCGCGCGTACCTCTTGACGCAGCTGCGCACGGGCCACAACTGGTTATCCAGCTACCGCAAGAATGTTGGTTATAGTGACGACGACCAGTGCGCATGCGGCGCACAAGAAACAGTCACCCATGTGCTGGTGGATTGCCCGAACTTGAGGGAACTTCGGAGAGAGCTAAGGAGAGAAGTTGGAGACGCGTTCAATAGCGTGTCGAGCCTGCTGGGAGGCTCAAAACAAGGTGAGAAAGGTAAACCAGACACCGTCTCGCGAGCCAGGACGGTCAAGGCCGTGCTGGACTTCGCCGAGGCGTCACAACGGTTTCGGAGTCGCGCGCCACCGGGGCAGCCTAACAATGGGAACGGCAATTAGGCCACGACAGGCCTTGACGAGGCTCTAAGTTCGTTTTCAGGAAGTGGAACACTCTACATGTACGTACACGGATATATATAGTAGTCGTATCCTGCATATCGTTCGCGAAGTTGAACCCTGGATTGAGGTACAAGTGTGATAATTCATCTATATGAAGAGATCCAGCTATTTGTAGTTACAGCAGCTCATCTCCTTGCTGCCTAGCGGAGTGTCTGCCTAATAGGCAGCCACTCCTATAGATCTATATACATCACGTGACCTGGGATCCAACTCGCGAGGGGCCAGGGTAAATGATTTCACACACACACTCTCCTGTATCTAGGGCTCATTCCATCTATCCAATGATGATCCTTCGGAATAAAAAACAGATGAGGAAGATGTTGGGCAGGTCTTTGCTTCTTCGAATACTCTTGAATACTCCAATACTTGTCCCCAGCACCACGGAGAGGTGCCTGCACATTGATAGGGAGCCATAGCAAGTCATTGGCGAGCCAAGTCTTGTATGACTGAGCGCATTTTTATAGTCACAGGGCTCATTGGCTGTGAGGGAGCGCAAGTCTTACATCGCTGGGCTCGTGGCAGCGACAGCCGTGGTCACGGAATCTCTGAAGTCCTTGTTTTCGCAGCTCTTCCCTGCGAGGATTGTTGTTGGCGCTGACCCATCCTGCAAAGCACCTTTTTACACTCGCGGGGCTCGTGGCAGCGAGGGAGCACATTCTTACATCGCTGGGCTCGTGGCATCGACAGCCGTGGTCACGGAAGCTCTCAAGCCCGCAGGCAAGAGAGGGACACTTTGATGCATCAAATTGTGAGGACCGAGCTCCTGAGTTTTTTGAGCTGGGAATCTGGCCCCTTTTATTTTTTTTTTCGGCTACGTCTCTACCAAGGAACCAGTTGCGCAGATGGTAGCGAGAATCACTGGCTTTGGAGGACTATCCGAGGCAGGGATACTGGATCAGTCTACTTGGAGATCCCCAACATGCCTGCCACAGCGTCTGACAGAGAATGATCGTTGAAATGTGGAGATAGAGAACCGTTTATCTGCCAATAAGCGCATGCATCTAGACTTCCATAAGCAATCGTAATTCCTTTGTGAGGCTCCGGATTTCTTGCTTCTGGGAGCCGGTTACACGTTCCGCAAGGGCTTGCCAGGGATTTTCGGGGCTCGCGGGCTAACTTGCAACTATCGTTCGGGCCATTTTCTTATTGGCTGATGATCACCATATTCCTAGGAACTTGGACCTTTTACACCCTCTATGTATGCAGGACACTCAATCATGTGAGGGCCTACATGTATGTACGTCGGGAGAAACAGCCGCTCCTTAACTCTAGAAGATGTCGCGCTAGGATTAATGGAAAGGGGTCTTATGTCCAATAGAGCCCAGATAAGCTATGTGGGTCACTTGTAGCGCATATCCTCCACTCCTCATGTATGTCCGTGAGATATTCATAGCTCTTTGGAACGGACTTTGTTCCTAGGAGACTGCCAATTAGACGTCCTAGGAACTCAACCCATATCCACAATTCCTTAGGTTGCTGACTGTAGACGCGCCAAAGGATATTAATGATGCTGCTGTATAAATATAATACAAAGAATACCCATCTCTATGATTTACAATCTTCGGTGGTCTTCGATCACCAATACTATATCTGAGGACAGAAACAGCAATTATTCCTCTTTGCTATGGTGAGTCTGCCTATATTGACTAATTGAGACATTCATTTAACAAGTTCGCTATCTTCAGTTACCCAAACGCATGATGCCCGACCTGACAAGTACTGGTGCAACTACAGCCCAAGTTGCAAAAGCTGCACAGCGCGGCCTGCATGCTCTATTAGAGAGTATCCAAGCTAGTGAGCGCACTGGCGTACTCCTGAATAAAGTTGGCCGTCAATTACTTTCCGTCAAAAAGCGTTTGGAGAGTATTACATCAGAGGTAGAGGGTACATATTCTTGCGATATCAGATATCAGACTCAGTTGCAAGGTCCACATTCATCTTCGGGCGGCAGTTTCGAACACCCAAGATACATGTGAAAGGTTTTTGGGTACTTTCAAAGAGTGGAAAGATCATTCGTCCTCGCTCTATTTGCGCGAATCGGATTCTGGTAGCTTTGATATCTTTGAAGAAACGGAATTGTGCTATTCAGCGAAAGCCTGCAGATGTTGGAAAGTACAATACTCATGGCGGAGGAAAACTCGGCGTTGTATGTGAAAAATGAACCCTTGATACTCGATCGATCGATCGTCAATCTTATTATTTCACCAGATTGGATGAATTCTCTATCTCAAGAGCTCTTTCCGACGTGGAGTGGACCTCAATAATGTCCAGAGAGAATGTATTATTTTCAGCAGCGGTCGACATGAATCGGAAGCAACACGTGCCACAGGGCCGACGATTGGCACTCAAACGCATCGCTCGTGAGTCCGAAGCTTACGAGATTGGAACACAATACCATCGAGTGTCATTGGTGAGCTCTTATCTGAGATTAGTCGCTTGCGCAGTGGACAACCAGTCTATACCGAGGAAGAAGACCAGCTTCCTATTGATGTTATCAATGCAATGACCGGTAATCATCAATTCCCACAACGCGATGAAGTCCTTCGTGGGGGCGAATCCCCCATACCCATCCTTTGGTGAACATGAGACACCCTTACCCTTCTCCCCAATTTTCTTCCGCTTAAATTTTATATTGCCGAGACAGCTGGCCATATACATGGCACAACGTATTCCAGCGACGTTTCGGAAGTTATGGGTGTGGGATTTTCAGTAACCAAGTTGTCCAATCACATGCTTACGTACCGCAGGCTGAAAATATTCCCAACCTGCTCCCCTTCACTGTCTCTTTTGTCAAAGATACACAACGCTAGGATTGTCGATATGATGACCTCGTACTAGGGCTCCCCAGCTCACCACGGCATGGATTTGCTAAATTTGATACTCTAAATCTACTCACGGATTAGTCATCGTATACTGATCTCAAAAGCATGTCTTAGACGTTGGATTGAATAGACTATAAACTGAATGTTTGGCTGAAGACCCTTGATCGGTAATATATTTCTATGCAGTTTTGAGTCGAAATTCCGGTACACTGTATGTACCGTATTGTACTGATGACAGATGCTTACAGTAACGAAGTTGTAAAATCGCATGCTTATGTACCGCAGGCTGAAAATATTTTCAACCTACGCCTCCTTCACTGTCCCTTTGTCATAGATAAACAACACTAGGATTGTCGATATGATGGTCTCATACCCTAAGCCTCGTCGCGGAATAGCCATACTATACCGATTTGAGCATGTCTTAGAAGACGTTGGATTGAATAGGTTGAATGTTTGGCTGATGCTGATCGGTAATATTTTTGTTTTTTTGTGTGCAATTACGCCACACGGTATGTACGGTACAGTATTGTACTGAGGGCAGATACAATACAGTGACGCAGCAAATGTTTTAACACCCTTGGACAGACCGCTTTTGAGACCGCCTATTGTAAACCGAAGAGCAAGTTTATGATATCTTACTTTTTAAACATTCGTGTTTCAGTAGGTCTTTTTCATAGAATATGATTCAATTCAATACACAAAAGCCAAGTGTTTTTATTAAGAAACAAGTTAAAGGGTGTTGGAAAAATCGAATTTTTGGCCGGCAGAATCTTAAAAATCAGAGGGGGTGTTAAAACATTTGCTGCGTCACTGTATTTGACCGCACAGCCACAGTAAATTACGACAAGCCACAATTGCGGAAATTTGCACCTGGTGAAGGTATGTTCGAAACACGTAAGTTTCAGTCATGAGCCGTTTCTCCGTATGTTTGGTTGGCCCGCTTGGATCACTATGGATTTGGCCAAAACTTGGGTAATAGTAATGTGGAAGTTTCAATCCTGCTTCAATTCATTCTGTGATGGCTAGAAGCTTGTGGACAAGATAGGTTGTTCAATCATATGGTTGTGAGTAAAATATGACTGTATTGTCTTTTGTCTGCCCAACAGATCTGATGAATTGAAGAGACTTCCTCGGATAGACGTTCAGAGAGATAGGTAAATTCGATCGCTTACCCAGGTTCATTAATATTGAAGTACCAAAAAATATGACTGGGTCACGTAACTGATGAATAGGGATAAAAACACTAGGTTGGGAGAGAGTGATGAATTGAGGGAGAGTGATGAATTGAGCGAGAGCGGGAGGCCAAGTATATATGCGTGTTGCGGCTGTGAAAAGACATGTGAGTCCCGGCTGTCCCAGAGGGAGGTGAGAACCGAGGCCAAGGTGATGGCAGTCTGCCAAATATCTACACAAGGAGGCTTTACTGGACTCTGCCAAGGAATCGGGCGTATCTGTTGACACGGCTACGCACGGGCCACGATTGCTTACCTACGCCAAGGCCCGCCGATTCCGCGACAACGCTCTCTGCGTATGCGGGCTCAAGATACAGTCACCTACGTGCTGGTTGACTTTCCAGAGCTGTGAGATTTGCGGAGGCATTTGAGTAGAAATATCGGAGACCTCGTGTCGAGTCTGCTGGGAGGCTCAGAAGAAGGCGAGACAGGTGATTTAGACATCGTGTCGCAGGCTAGGATGGTCGAGGCTGTGCTATACTCTGCCCAGGCATCACAACGGTTTCGCAGTTGTGCGCCTCCAGGGCAACCTCACAACATGAACGGCAATCAGGCCACGGTAGACTTGACGAGGCTCTGAGTTCGTTTTCAGGAAGTGGAATATCTTACATGTACTGTATCTTTCCTACTAGGACTTGCTTTCAAGTGCGTGCTTGTTGAATGCAATGAATAGCCAAAGAGCGTCGAAAGGGGGGACGGTGCGGTAAAAGCAACCATAAATGTCCGATAGGTGATCAAAGTAACCGATAAGGCACGCCAAGACAAATAACGGTTGAGAATCAAAATTTCAACAAGTGGCGCCGGCAATACAGTGATAATTGACGCAATAAGGCCGGCCCGTGTCCACATTTCTCGATGTGTGTCCTGGTTGGCGTGCAGTACAGTTCCATGAGTTTTCTCTTCAGGGTATGTACCTGAATTATTAGGGGGTAGTTATTTACTTTGCGCAGAGAGCTTTTTGTATATTCAATCACAAATCTATCTATCTTTCCTCCGGCTATTTGTCTTACCAAGGGAAAGTCTCCTATCCATGTATTCCAGATATGCAAACAACCTAGCAATAACGGAGTAGCGCCCGACTAAGTCTACCAAGGCAATGTTCTGATGAGGTACAGTAGAATGTTATAGGCTTCGAATTTCTCCCGTGCACACCAGGATGATGGCTTGCAGTAGCGTGTGACTTCAACAGGGGCTTGTTGCCGATGTTACATTTTTGGCAGGCTTGCTCAGCTCAATTCTAGTGGACTTGGCGATGTAAGCCGGAATTGCAAAGCATGTTAAAAGAAGCCCTAGAGCTCTCAGAGGGCTGGGTCTTTCAATACGACATGCTTTAGGAACCCGTAACCATGTCCGCTGAACCACCAAGACACTCTCATCTAAGAAAATCCAAGCGGAATCCAGAACCGAATCCAGAGCCAGGTGGGCGAGACAAGAACAAGAAGTCCGGCCGGATCCTCTCTGCCTGTGACACATGCCGACAAACGAAAAGCCGATGTACCGGAGAGGCTCCGTGCCTGATGTGCAAAAGGTCACAGAAAGTCTGCAACTACAGCCCCGGTACTAGGCTCGGTCGACCCAAAGGCAGCAAGAACAGGCGGAAGCCGATACAGCAATCCCTGAACATGAACAAGGATCAAAGGAGCGGGCCACAGGAAGGCAGTGCGGGTATCATGAAGTGGATTCAACACGAACAGCAACAACCACATCTTCAACCACAGAGCTTCCAGCCAGAGCTAAATATGGTTGATTTGGAGGTCGACATGAAGTACACACTTGATCCCACAATGGCTTTTGGTGATGGCAACATATCCACTGTGGAAAGAAAGTGTGGCCTTCTGCTTGGTATGAGTTCGGAGTTGCACGACTTGCTGATTGCAAACGATGACACGGGCCAGAACCATGACTTGTGCTTTTCTCAGGTATCATCAATCAATTCACCGCATTCACACATATTCTTGGAGACTGAGTCTTTCGTTTGCTTCTTGATTGCAGACATTCCATTGGGTTCCAAACTCACCTGCTTTCCGTTTATGACCGGGAATGTATCTACCCATCCAATGGAGCGGTCGGTCTGGATGGCAATACATTCTCGTACAACGACTCTGCTCCATCGTGGTTTCCAGAAAGCTTTTGAGGAATGGGAAGGAGGTCCATTATCAATAGCGCAAGGGCTCGCGGCCCAGCAAAGATGCCAAGAAAGATTGGTCCTTCTTTCCCATAAATCTTGAATGATAAAGAGAGGGGACTGTGATGATTGTTTGCTGAGCACGAATTTTAACAATAGCCATTTCAGCTCCGAATCGAGTGGACCAAACCGACTACATAGAAACTGCTACATCTATGTAGAAACTGCTACAAGGCAGGGCAGCCTGTTGGAAAATTGCGATCGTAACCTAGATTAGCTTTAGGGCCTTCCGCGTTATACGTTATAAGCTAGTGATATCCTAACCTACCTAGTGGCGGACCTTTGAACCCTATGCTAGTGCTCCTATAGAAGTCGAGTTCGACATAGCACTAGATATATAAGGTATAATAGGCGTAGTAGCAAGATTCTAGTTTCTCGAAATTTGAATAAGTCTAAGAGGATTTAGGATGTTATAGGAAATCTTATTATACTTTCTTATAGCTCCAAATCTTTGTTTCGGGGGTGGTTTTGGTTTCTGTTATCATAATTGTACCATGTACTTAATCGTCTTAGACTGTTCAAGTATATGATTGAAGAAATATGCAGATGTATTGCAGTGGACCTCGATAATCAGTATAAGTCTCGAACGGTTCCAAGATTTGAAGATACGGGCTCCTCTGTATCTAGTATCCTTGCATGGTCGATCGTCTATGATCTAAATTTCACGAAATTCTCAGACTCTCCATATAGACGACAATATAAGCAAAGAGTGAACACCATGTCTATATATCTTGAAGACCCAAAGACACATATCTTTGACTAGCTAAAGAATACAGCATGATTCGGGACTGACTGGGAGCTGCTTGCGCTCTCGACTAGCTGCCATGTTTGTCTGTGCATTGACAACACCCGGGGAGTGTAAAGAGGCCATCTCAGATGCGACCCGCACGCGGTGGCTATCAAAAGTGGAAGCTAACCACTGGGCCCGACTCATCCAAGGGACTTGTGTAAAGTCAGATTGGTATTCCGCGAGAATGATTTCTATTTGTGTCATTCGAGACTCATCTTTCAATGCAGCCCAAGCGACCGTGAGACACAACGGCATATAGGCTGATCCCAACGGCCGGTAGCAGGTTGCCAGCTCGGCCTGCGTCGCAATTTCATCACACAGAGCGATACACTCACTGACTAGAGTGAAATTGAATGAATCAAAGATGCGGAGGAGACTATTTGTGAGCACGGCCAGGGTTGATACCATGGTATACGCTGCTTGGGCTTGGGAGTGAGCCACAACGGCCGGGGATGAGAAGGATAGAGGGGTGAGTTGCTCGACTTGACCGAGGTGTTGTCGCATGACTTGTGCATCAGTTTTCAATCTGAAGTATGCATTCTCAATTTCAGGAAGGTTTGCATCAGGGTTCTGAACGAAACTAGGGAATAGAGCGAGATGTTTATACTCCGTCGAGGGCTTGGGGCGGTTCTCCTGCGATGTGGACATCCGATCTTTGAATGATGAGGCCAGCTCCCAAAATGCTGGGTCCATCTTAACACGGGGGTTAACAATGCCTTCGAGAATCTGGTTGATCAGACAGGTCTTAGCTGCTTGCTCGCGTCATAGGTGTGTGTCCTGAATAAAACATACCACAGGTATACACATCGTGAGAACCATCTCAAGCTCAAATCTGCTGTTCCATTCATGCAATGGAGCAGCTTTGAGAAGATGAGAAATGGCTTCGGCATGACCTGTAAGCGAGTCATCATATTTCCCCAGCCAGCTCTTCAAAGTTCGTGGTGATCAGCTCTTGCGTTATTGAAGTTGTTGATAGAAACAGTAAAAATGCTTACCTGGCAGATGGTGATCAAGTAGACGGCACATAACGTATTCGGAGTCCGCGCCTCGGCTGCATCGTTCAAACACTCTCTGAGCCTCCGTAGAGATTGTCCATAGCGCGCGAGCGCAATTGGTGAGTTAGTACCGGTGTAAAGAAACGGGGATGCGGCTGAAATGGCTTTCACAGCCGCGTCTAATACAGCGTTTTTGCCCAGGCGTCGGGGAATATCCCGAAGGAAATGTCCGTAGTAGACAATGGCATACCGGATATCGGTCACCTGCAACACCTCTACAAAATTTGCTGCAATCTGATCCGTGTCGGTACTTGGTAATTGTGCTGGCCTGCCAACGCAGACTACTCTGCTAGTTGAGAGTGTTGGCTGAAGGGCAGACTGGCCTTGCGTTCGCCGGTGATCTAGCTTATGGCTGATGAACTTATACCGCTGTTGTCCGCCCCCAACACACGTCATATTCAAACGTGTGCAACGGGAGCATACTGGCTTGAGCTGGTCACACTATTCTATGCGTCAATGTAAGGCGACCAGACTGGTTTTGAGGACTGAACCTTCTTCTTTGCTTTGCGGCATGCATCACAGCCACGACTAGATGGAACCCCGGGCATGGCAAATATCCAAGTTGTGCATACAATTCTAGTGCCGACCATAGAAAAAAAGAAGTTCATATATCCGGGTGGTGATCAGCTCGAAAAGGACACATGGGGCGATTAAGATGTGTTGTGACGACATCCACACAGCCACATTGTAGGCCAAGATACCTGCGAGGCCAATCAAAGTCATCAAAAGCTTAGGGGAAGACCCGCCAAGACTCTGGCGCATCATAATGCCCAATTGGGGGTGTCGCAGTGACGATCAAGCCAACTCGAATATGATCAGATCGCATAACTATGTATAGCCCGGCCCAGCGCATGTTCCTAAAGAAACCCAGCAAGTGAAGGCTATCTGCTTGAATCTGAGCATACTGCGGAAATATATAAGGGCTGATCGGAGAAGCAACCGGGGACAGCATTCAACCAAACCAAACCACAAATTTACATTTTTTCTCTACCTTGATTCTCTCAAAAGTGCCACACCCTCGGCTTGAATGATGAGTGCATATTATTCCTTCTTTTCCACTCGCAGTCAGACTGCAAACCCACAAGTCGTCTCATTGTCTCTCCGACCAGCACCATGGGATCCCACAAAGGTCCTAGTCCATCCTGCAGGATATCCGATTGAAGCTCCACCCTTGTACTCAATTGTGACTTGTAAGGAACAAGTTCCCAATGTGGTTGTACTTCGTGGCTGGGGTACCGGCCCCTGGGACATGGTTGGCGACGCTCGGCTTCCAAGTCTATCATCAAAATCACGCATTACGCTACATGGACAGCCAATAGACATGCGCCTCAGCCAAATTTCAGGCCATTTTAGCTTTCAGACCTCTTCTACGGGCCGGTTGAAGTGGAAGGCTAATATGTTAAGCGGGAAGAACCTAGAGTTGCACGATGCCTACGGTAGAAAGATGGCGACGATTCAGCGGAGCGGAACATCAGGAGAAAAGAAGCTGGAGGTATCTGTTTCCCATGACAGTCGCTTTCTGGAGCTAGTGCTGCTATCTGGGATGACGGCAAAAGCTATGAATAAAGCCGAGAACGAGACAGCGGTCGAAATTCTGGGTTCTATCCTGGGGGCATGAAGCACACTATGTATTACTGTATTGAACGTGTAGTGAAAGACACAAAATGATTCAAATCGATATCACCCCTGATTGGAAGGTATGCGCGGTAACCAGTTTTCGTTGCTAGTATACTCATGGCTTAAAGTCTCCCTACATTCCATGCGCCGCGGTGCCGATATCGGTTGCTCGACCAAACGCCTTGCCTTACATCTCCGAACTCGATCTTCTTATCTTCAAGATCAATTGTTGCGGTTTGCGACTTACACCGGCTAAAAAGCTTCGTGATGCAACCGATGCAAGAACATTAGCAGAAGATTTGTGTTCAATTCCCTTATAGTCTAGAGACTCCGGAGCTCTATGTAATTCTGGCAAGAATCTGTCTTATCTCTAAGGACAATATACTGTGTTCCATCCTCTACCTATTAGGCCATTATATCTTGCCTGGTTAACAGGCCTTACACCTAATATATTCTTACAACGTACTAACACACCTCTCCCGGGACTTTGCTCCCTCAGCGTCACGTTTTTCCCTGAGAAGATCTAAGAAGGAAGAAAATCTCTCCAGACTTGGCTTACCTCGTTCTCGTATCTACTGCCTCATCCGACAACACCATCATTCCTCTACTGCATCGACCATTGGGCACCGTTTAGCTTTTATGCTCTGATCGTCCATCTCTAAGATCAGTATGAACATAAGTCTTTTGCTGGCTTTTTTCACATCCATCTCAATGTCTCTCGGAGGGACCCTTCAGATAATTGACTATGAAGACCAGTGCTTCATGTATTCCACAGAAAATTTCAACTGCACTGGGGTCTCAGAGCCATTTGCACCTCTTGAAGGCGCCTTCTGCTCCAGTAAGAAATCCACTGACGATGAAGAGTACTTCTAACAGCTTCAAGATCCGAGTACAGAGCACCATGACACACGATCCGAGTCCAATTCAGTTAAAGTCAATTTGTGTGGCTCTTACCAACATTCTGCGTGGATTGAAGTGTATCAAAGTGGTTTGCTTTACATGTACATCAGGCGTCTTGAGATCTGAGTCTCACGGTTGTGCAGGCCTTAGATTCGTAGGGGACGCTAGTGGGCAGTCTAATGGCCTGGCGGGTCTTGAGACCGCGGTCTTGGAATCTGCTGGGTCTCTGGCTCTGTGTCCACCGCCCTCAGCTCAGTTAAATCTTGAGGCGCTGTTTTTCGGGTTATTTCCTGACCCTTTGGTTACTTTGCTACCCTGCCAGTCTTGTTTCCTGGCCCATCGATCTTATGCCACTGCTTTTTGTTTCCTATACTTTCACTTCTTAGTTTTGAAGGCATTTATCAACCTGCAACCTTTGTTAGCTAGTAGGAAATAGATTGGAGTTCTCTTTGGCCAATGCTCGCGCTAAGGGAAGCCAGATTTCCGGAGGAATTCTATATTGACCATGGAGACCCCAATACACTGGACAAGCAGCCCAAGCGCATATTCAAGATCGCGAAACACTTGACTAACTTATTCGATGCAGATGTATAACATGTTGCGTGGTGCTAAAGGCACGAAAGTTTCGTTACCATACATTATGTAATCACGCCACAGCTCCAGGAGGCTTGCATCGATCAATGTTTTTATCCAGCTGTGACTTTGGTAAACGAAATGCACTAAGGTGATAGGATGTTTTAGATCATCTCGACCCCAATGACGGGACATCACGTTTGGGCCAGAGTCTTCTAGGATGCCTCCAGTCTGCAGCCCGAATTAGCTCGATATTGCCAGACGCTGACATAGCGTTGATGCCGGCCCAAGAAGGTCAGGTGCTCATCATGACGACCAATTATATCGAACACCTTGACGAAGTCAATGTGCACACAGCAGTCGGTCTGGACAGAAGGCTTTGCCTGCTTTTTCCCGTCCCAACGCGATGACCACGCCGTGTGTTGCCGGATATTGGTTCTAGAGTTCGAGGACGCTTCAACCACCTCACGTCCTCCAAGTCAATGACAACCAAACGGCCACCCAGGCCATCCCACAGCATATTGCGCCACTCGCCGTCGCTGTGGACAACTCCGTGCGATCGGAGTACGGCCAGAGCTTTGTCGCGTTCTTGGTGAAAAAAGCTAGAATTCTCATCGTTGACATACTGAAGCCGAGTTCCAGACCAGCTCAGGATCATCATCTGGGCCATTAATTCACCATGGTACCAATACGCGACGCGTGGCTGAAAGACTCCAAAACAGACGCGGATCTGATGTCCTTGCAAGCTCCTGAGGTGACGATAATTTTTCACCTCCGCTTGAAGGCGATGTTGCTTCTCCACTGTGGTAGCTTTAATGATCACATGGGTACTATACCAAGCGCAACTTGTGGATCGCTCCACCGCTATCTCGCCGACATACAGATACAGGCCTCTGTCCTCTCAGGAGATTGAATGTCGGACATAGGGACATTCTCCGTACCTTGGTCTGCAAGTCCGGCCGGTTGGCTGTCAGCAAATTGCATTAAGTCGCTTGAGACTGAAAGAAGAGGGCGCCCCCAACTGATATCCCGTGCGTATGTCATTAATGATTCAAAGACTCGCTGGTGCATGCTATGGCATCTAACGAAATGTGCAGAAAGCCCTATCATCTGATCGTATGATCCTGGCCATGCTCGGACCTCATAAACAGTACCCAAGAAGACCTATGCCACACCGAAATGCAACCAATCGAATCCAGAACGCCAATGGCCTAAGAAATTCATCTGTTCACCCATTCTGAATCTTCATTTTCGGCCCATAGAGTCTTATGAGCCTCTTCATCAGTGTAGCAGAGACGAAGCCAAAGACCCGATAAAGATCCGGTGTCATCAGCGTAGGCGCGTAGTGCCTCGGGGCGTATAGGTCGAAGAATCTCGTCTATTTGACCTTCAGTTGGAATGGGTGGCGATTTCTGGCAGTAAGGCTATCAATGTGGTATTGCCTCGGGGTCAGTTGCGTTGTATGATCCTCACATTCAGTATGATAGGAGGTATATACCTGTCTGCCTTCGAACCCCAATGCGAGAAATTGGCGAACAAGCCGTTTGCGACGGTCTGCGGGGGATTCGTAGGATTGTGAGGGATCTGGGTGAGGTTTTTCCCATTCGGAGAGGAAGTAGACTTCCAATGGAAGTTCTCCCCAGGGAGGTTGTTTGGGTTGGCGGTCGTCAATCTTATAGACAGGCATTTGTATTCCGTCCCTCCGCCGCTTGGGATGTAGGACCGAAAGCCATATCTGTGTCTCCAACATGGAGTGTCCGCTAATTTCGTGTAAAATACAACATCAGTGGTACTGAAGACGTATTTGTAAGATACACAGACTATTGTAGAATGCGGTCTAGCTCAATGAGCTCAAAATAACATCCAATCAGAACGCGCATGTTTAGGATTCATTTTCCGGAAAGCAAGTCGAAAGAGTGTGAGGTCAAACTGAATTCGAAAACTACAGTAACAAAGACCCATTCGAAAACCGTTACCTACAGTACGTCCCGAAACTGGTGCAACCGCCTACACACTTCGAGTGATTATCTAGCCCCGCCGCCAAGGGACACTAGACCATATTAGGAATAGCACCGGAATATCAATATTCCTGTACCAACCTCGATACTATGATTTACAGTGGTGTTTCAAAAGTATTTGGCCGCCGGTACTTCGGGCTAGGACCCACTTTTAAATATTGCCTGGCAGAAAATTACTGGTAGTATGTAAACCATATATCTTAGCTCTAGTAAGGCAGTCACGCTTTTGACGGCATATAGAAGGCATAATTGAATAAGAAAATCACAAAATATGCTTCAAATTGCGTTGATATGTAGCGTGTGTACTAGCGTGTTAAGGATTGATAGACAGATACAGTAGGCGGTCTAAATGGCGGTTAGAGCCCGAAGTATCGGCGGCCAAATACTTTTGAAACACCACTGTACTTTCATTAAAATACGGTGCTTCGTCTCGTACAGTGACTGGACATAAGTTGTAACTGTATTGGCGATCCAAGGGGACTAGAATTTTCCATAGTAATGCAAACAAGCCAAACATTAGTAACCGCTTGCACAAGGGAACAAGATGGGTAGATCTGGATCGTGCAGATAGGCGGTTGTTTTTATCGACGAAAGTCAGCCTTAGGCTGCCTTCTTGACCAGCGCATCCACAATCTCAACAGCTCTCTCGAACTTAGACTTTTCTTCAGGAGTAGGTTGCACACTGCTTGTACCCCCGCCGCATCCCTCCGGACCACCGTTGTTCCACTCTAAATCATCACTACCCCAAGCAATGCTTGTGTTTAAGGCATATATGTCCTCTGATCCCGGTGGCAGCTCCGTCGGCAAAGTTTTCAAAATATCGTGTAGCTCATTGACGAGGTCCTCTGTGTCTGTTTGCGAACTTTCGAGGGATTTCGGGGCTATTTCCTCCAAATTCGGTGAGCCACCCTGACGGACATTTCCGTGGATAAGAAGGTAAGTATTGGTGGACAGTTTGTTTATTGTGTAAATTGCGTCTGGCGTTGGCGGTGCGAAACCTCCTTGAATGCCTGTATATTGCATAAGGGTGCAGAATGTTAAGACAGTGTCCAAGAGCCGAAGACGGGTTACTGTTTAAAAGATGCCGTACCTCGTTGAAGCCGAATGAAGTATTCAGAAGGTGCCATTTTTCATGTGAGACGGGTATTGAAGGTTAGTGCTTTTCGCGAGGAGAGTGCCAACGTAAAAGAGGGGAATGTTAGCACGTGATCCGCTCGGACCATTCTGGGAGGCTGTGTCGACCTACTGTGGCATTGCTTAAGATTGGAACATTCGAAGTACAGAGCTAAGTATACTGCCGGTGCAATTAGTGTTTCGACCATTTATGCAACGCGAATATCGGGCGGTATGCCTTGATTGGATAAGCGGTAAACCAAAATACATCGAATTGTTTCAGACTTTAGCACGGCCACTGTAGAGGGGCACGGTACCATATGACATAATCCTAGTAATCAAGGAGGTCATCCTCTACCCCAATAACGATAGTACAGTCGCTCAGTGGGTAGGCGACATCTGCCAGAATAAATCCATGGCTAATTTGGTTATCATCCAAGAAATATTGATCTTGCTGATCAACTTCGCCTGAAACCAAACGTGCAGTCGTCGTGGGGCATTGCCCATTGCGGGACGAGTAAGGCCAATCGAAACCAGCTTCTTCTGCTGCGTCTATAAGATATGCGTCTCTGTCACACTGAAATGAGTACTGTTCACTGTTCCCAGGCCAGGAAAAAGTAATTTTGAAGGTCATATTAATGAACTTGGTGGAAATTGTTGTGTATGTGCGGGCCTTTGGCGGGTATTCACAGAACGTACCAAAAATATTTGGATGCTTAGGAAATCCATTCATTTAAATATTAATATTATTGAACGGCACTATTTGGCATACCTTTTCGATCGATCACAAACCCAAGGTTCAGTGACCACGTCATCTACATCAGTGATCAACAAAGTGCCAAGATAATTGACCCACTTCGAGCGTCCAAAGTTCAGTTCGCCACTGCATTTGCGCAATACCAAGTCCCGAAGTGTAACATCCTGCAAAGAATGTGGATGGAGACATATATCGAGACCTATGACTCTATTTGTCCTAAAAGACTATGGTTATCTTCTGCTGTCAGCGACAGAGCGTAGATAGAACAACAGCCATCTAATCGAAGTTTTCCGCTTTCGTACGTATAATTCCGGGGATTTGTCTGATTGAGAAAGGCGATGTTCGATATCAAAATCGGGCGAATCATAGAATAGCTTGCTAAGCTTGGAGTATCCGTGTGTGGAGATGTTGAATTCCGGGTGTCGTGTCGTGAGATGCTCACCAACATCAGATAGCCTGGCCCACCCGCTGTTGTTGAGAGAGGCCTCTGCCGTGTTCTGCTGCCGAATAGCTGGGTGACCATCTTCTTTGGCTTTTTGGACCGAATTATGGCTTTGGGGAACTTCAGCCTTATCTGAATGCGGTGCAAGCCCTGAAGGGTAAAGAAGGTCTTCGGTATATATGAATTTATCGCACGCAGCGACGAAAGCTTTAGGCGTCTTGCGCTCCCCAAATCCAAATACCATTAGCCCAGACTCGCGCACTCGAGTGGCTAATGGGGTGAAGTCACTGTCGCTAGAGACGAGGCAGAAGCCATCGACGCAATTCGAACTACTAGGTATTAGTCCCAATTTCTAACCAACCGGGCGATTCTCATCACTTTTCAACGCTCTCTTTCGACAATATAATCATTGTATTGTACAGTCGATTATATAGATTCCTACAAGTAGGTGCTCAGCATACACGGATTGGAGATTAGGCGTTCTCTTCAGCTATATCACACCGCTATTGATCATCGAAGCTACGACATCAATTTGCAGCCTGCAGTGGACCATTGTACAACATCTCAGCTCAGCCCGTCACACTCTTATGGACGCTCAGATCGTCAATGTGCATATTGTAAATATGTGTATGCGTTCTACAATACGATCGCCTTGAAGCTTGTATATCCCCATCAGCTCCCGTCCGATCGACATGTGGAGACAGTTCTAGTTTTCAGCTCTTGTGGGGTTGATCATCCCACCTGAGGAGAGCAGAGAGAGGGGTTCATCCTTGTCTGAAGTAGCAAGAAACAGGATCGCAATACAACGCAACTCAGCCGCTTCTTGCATGGGTGGCAAGCTTTTGGGAGAAATACCTATGCTATAAGAAGAGGCCATTCCTGCCGTTTCCTGCTCTGTTAGTCAAGAAAACTGAACTTGATTAAGACACCAACATGACCGAAGTGAAAGCAAAACTCTTGTTCGATGTTTACATCGTCGACAAGTCATCTCTGGCAGCCAAGCTAAGGAAAATCGTGGATATTAGCGAAAAAACGACGGCCGACTTAGATGGAATGACGCTGAAGGAGATTAGAGAGCAGCTCAATAATGCAAAAGCATTGACATTTCGCCAGTATGTTAGGACTTCCTGCCGTGACTTTTATCACGCTAAGCAGTCGCAGGCAAGGGTGCTCGTTCTGCAACAAAGCAGGGGCAGTTTTCAATGACAATCTCCCGTTTTCGACATACATCCAGGCGCTGAATCATGGAAGTGATGATTCCTCGGACAAAAATGACAATGGCAACGGTGATCAAGAGGTGAAGCCAAACGAAAACCCTAAGGGAGCCACCACGCACTATGCGGTGTATCTCAGGTCGCGTAAGCTTCCAACAGAGCTTGATGAGAATACAAAGAACTTTTTGAATGAAAAGATGGAATTCGACTTGAAGGTACGTTTTGAGGATTTACTTTCCAGCACCACAACTGACGCCAGATAGAAAACAGAGCTACTGGCTGGCAAGTCTCCAGAACTACTGGAAAAATCTTACAGCCACTCTGATTTCATGGCGAGAACTGGCAGTGGCACCATCACGTAAGTTCACTTTGCCCACGGCTTGGACGGAAGTGGCTCTAAATGCAAGCAACAGTCAGCCAGCGGATATGCTGGAGCGCCACTGGAATGTTGTCATGAATACAAACTCCCTATTGAGCGGAAGCTCTGCGGTATTGCGCGATGTGGACATTGGAGTTCGGGTGGAGCGCGCTATGTATCCTGGTATGTTGTGATCCAGGAGTTTCCGTTTGACCACAAAACTGACCCAGGCAGCCTTCAAGTCAAAGAAGCGCGAATTTGAGGACTACGAAGTGGCTTTGGACAACAACTCGGATATTGCGGTTCCAAAGGTAAGTCATGTTGCATGTCGTTGTATTTTTTCCCGGATATTGACCATGATTAGCACGGACTTCATATTCCTCGATTCGTTGTCGCAGACGATTCTTACGTGGAAGTAACCGAATCGCAGTCTTCCGTAGCGACAGCTGTTGCATCGAGCTCGTTGGCTCAGGTTGATGCAGAATTGGCAGTGTGAGTCTTATATTTCGGGTCGAGGGTATTTTTCTGACGATGATATCAGTGGGGCCGGCGTCTATGGATATAGCGCAGGTATTTCTGCCTCCCATCACAGCGAGGAAGAGACCAAAAAGCTGGTGACGAACAGGACGGACAAGAAACGGATGGTCATAACATACAATGTGAGATACAGTGTTTATACTTTCGAGCCTCGCTAACCGGACCAGTTTCCACGGGTGATTGTTTTGCTCGACGAAGATAGTTTAGAAGTCACTGCAGAATGTGTCGAAGCCGTCAAGAAGGTGAAGGACTGGAACACACTCAGCATTTTCCTGAACAAGTACGGATCTTTTTTTGCAACCCGGGTTGAACTCGGTGGGCGCCTCCATTCCTCGGAAGACTCGACTGCCATTACCGGTGAAACTGTATCTGAGAAAGCCAAATCCATGAAGAATGCTGCCGGGCTCTCTGTCTCCGGACCCGCCGTGGGGGTTTCTGTCAAGGGTGGAAAAGGCAAAGTAGAGGGTAACAAAGATGAAAATACCACCTCTTCTCTCGAATCCAAGATGTCCTGGGAGGCCAAAGGTGGTAACACACTACTTTGCAACAAGTGAGTTCTCCTGTTTCTCTCCATATAACATGAAAATGCTGATTCGTGTAGTCCTCCTCAATGGTGTAGCACCGTCGCCTCGTTCTATAACTGGCGTGTGGTCAAGCAGGAGAATATCCTCGCTATCGAGGACCTCATCGATAGGATCCAGGGAGGCAGTGCGGTCAGAGATCAATTTGATCTCATTAGGAAGCCACCACCCCTGGCACCAGACCATCTCAACATTTGCTTCTATGAGAAGGCGCTAAACAAATACATCAGCCTCCATCCAGATAGAACCGACAACAGTCTCTACATGAGACTTTCCGCGGATGATCAAACCGAGGTGTTCGAGCTGCATGGAATTATACCCACGTATGGTGGAACTCGACGGGTATGTAACTCTCGCTGACCATTCTCGCATCAGCTAACCCTCGTTATCCTAGATCATGCGCCAGCACCAGTATACGCTATTCAACACAAATTCCAAGACCTGGGTTCATGGAAAAAAACATGGACCCGTAGAAGGGATGTCCAATTTATGTTCCGGGGCAATGGAAGAAAGCAAGTGGCATTTCAAGATTGAATCAGTCGAGCCGGAAAAGAACACCTCCGGGGTCCTTGGACAGAATTTTGCCGTCACAATCGCGGCATTCGACCCAGATGGCAACAGAAAGGGTCTTTTGGGGCAGGTCGGTGCGAGGCAGGATGATTTGTTTGTGGGTGCTGGCTTCGGTTTCACCCCTCGGCATTTTCTCCTGCGCTATCAGGATAGTGCGTGATTTGAATATAGTAACCTTGTTATATACTGCCATCAATTAGTTCTTCATTGGTTCCACCTTGGTTTTGCTTTCCAATCAAAATATTGATATTAAGACTAACTCTATTCACGACACGTACCCGACCTATGTACGGATTTTAGAGGCCTGTGGTTGGCTAAGCGGGACGGTCAACAGTTGGGGGGGGGGGAGAGGAGAAGAGGAGGGGGGAGTACGTACCCAACTAGAAAACGCTTAGTTTTACTCCGATCGGTCTGAAAATTGGCGACGTTCTATTTAACTAGATACTCTATAAACTGTGAAAGTTTTGAGAGGCATCCGACTAATATTGGTGGTGTGGTGGCTGACCCTAACTCTATTCCGTGACGGAAGCTGGGTTGGTTCCGTTGAATGGGGGCCTCTGATTGGCCGAGCTGGAGGCCTGAATTGGATCCACACCCCCAGGTTCCGTCCGAGCTTTGGAACCTGGGTCAGAGGGCTACCTATTGCTCCGATCGGTCTGAAATTTAAAGACGATCTATTTAATTAGATACTCTATAAACTGCGAAAGATTTAGCATCAGACTAATAATGGTGGTATGGTGGCGGACTCTAATTTCATGCATTTTTTTTTTGATGGGGTGCGACCGACGGCTGTCAATACCGTATCATAGTACGTCACCTTATCTATGGTAGCCATAGTAGAATAGATTACCTAGTACAGTAATTAATACCCATATATTATATTCGATAGTAGCCGGTAGTAGCCAGTGAATTAGTGGCCACCGAGACATTAGGGTGTAGGCAGTACGGTCTAAGGTTGCTACTACTAAGTTATAGGATAACGTAATTCACAAGCGAGTGGCCACCATAAGCGAGTGGCCACCCTACCAAAAACGCGTCAAGTAATTAGCATTTAATTTATTCAACCACCTACCATACCACTAATTCGCACTCAATCTTCTCAAAATTCAATTGAGCACGAGGGTAGGATCTTATTAGCTATCTAGGCTATTAAGAATCAAGAAATTATCGGATGTCAACGCGCAAGGCGGAGAGTACGGCTACGCTCTCTACGCCGCCTCGTACAGAGGCCATCAAGAGATTGTCACACTGCTCTTAGACAAGGGAGCGGATGTCAACGCGCAAGGCGGAGAGTACGGCTACGCTCTCTACGCCGCCTCGTACAGAGGCCATCAAGAGATTGTCACACTGCTCTTAGACAAGGGAGCGGACGTCAACGCGCAGGGCGGCTTTTACGGCAACGCTCTTCAGGCAGCCTTAGCCGATGGCCATCAAGAGATTGCCACACTGCTCTTAGACAAGGGAGCGGACGTCAACGCGCAGGGCGGCTTTTACGGCAATGCTCTTCAGGCCGCCTTAGCCGATGGCCATCAAGAGATTGCCACACTGCTCTTAGACAAGGGAGCGGACGTCACTGCAGCGGGCGACCGTTACGGCAACGCTCTCCAGGCCGCCTTAAAAAAGGCCGTAAATGGGTCTTAAAGCTTCTCTTACGAGAACTGCATGGGAATGGAAATAGAGGAGGAACGGGTTACCGATCAGGAGGCGGAAACCGACGGGAAATAGTAAAGAAGTCGCTGGATATACGTAGATGCGAAAATTATACTCTTAGTGTTTATGTTTACATTGCATTTTCTAATTTCATGTGCACTTTTTCATGTGCACTTTCTAACTCCCATCATCTTATCGAAAATTTAACTGAGCGCGCACTCTTTGAATGGAAATGACCTTAAAGTCTTATCAAGTTTCGGAAATAAAGTAAAATAATAAGTACATATAGTGTCATTGATGTAGTTATTTCTGGTAACAGTGTTACGAGTAATGAGTGAACACCAAACACGTGATGAAGCCTTTCATTACGATTCAATACTTGAAACCAAGCCAAGTCTGAAATACATTAGCGTGTTTTGAAAGAGGGTTTGAGAAAGAATCTCTATGTGCAAGCGGTGAAACTGATTTCGATCCTGCCTGTACAATCTTGCGAGAGATCAAGGAGATCGGAATACTACTGTACAGGGCAGACGAGACTGATTTCGATCCCATGCTGTATTCTATCGAACTGTGTACCGAGCGGGAACTAACCCCTGACCGATGACGGACCCACCCGCGGGAGGGCCCGAGACACCTCCCACAAACACCCAAGAAACTACCGCTAGCTTCACTGAGGAGGACCTCGAAGCCAGGGCCACCATCGAGAGCCGGAAGCGAACCCGGAGTGGAGATGCCTTCGCCCCGTCGGATCCAGCCGGCCGAATCACGACCAAGGAAGTGTGGAAATTGATCAGCACGCTGAAGGACGTCATCCGCCACCAAACAACGACCATCGCAGCCACCCAAAATGAACTTCAGGAGATCAAGCACAACCAAAATGTCCTCCAGGAACAGAACGAGAAACTTCACGAGGAGGTGAAAGCTTTGAGAGCAAGGATTGAAAGTGCCCCGACAGTGTCTGCGACCAGGTCTTGGGCCACAGTCGCAGCCAACGGCAGCAATAGCGCCTTCTCGCCGAGACACCAACAACCCGAGAAAGAGCAAGACTGCGTCCGAATCAGCACCCAGAGAACACTAGTCGACCCAAGAGATCATGACAACAACGACGGAAACACGTTTGGGCGCTATCTTCCTACCGATGCTGCCAACACACACATCCGCACGGCATTAGGGAACGACGCTGCAACGCAAGACGCTCAAGTAGCTGGCATCGGCACCACCAAAACCGGCTACGTCATCCGATTCAAGAACGCAGAGTCGGCTGAGGCAGCCCGCAACAACACCGAGTGGCTACATAAATTGGGCAATAACACGAAGCTGGTAAAACCACGATTCGGTGTCGTCGTACACCGGACCCCTACCGAGGAATTTGACCTGGAAACAGGGGCCACTCAGGCAGCGGAGAAAATCATCGAAGATAACGACCTAGCGGAGCACGGCTTCCATATCGACGAACTGGCCTGGATGAAATTGAAGGACAAGATATTGGGGAAATTCGCATCGTTAGGAATCTGGTTTGACTCCGCAGAAGGAGCGGAACATATGCTGCGGAAAGGTTTCGTGGTCAGCCAGCACTTCATCCCTCACGTTGAACGACGCGAGATCAAGAAAAAGAGATGTTTCCGGTGCCAACGGTTTGGACATCTGGCATGGTCGTGCAAGGAAACGCCACGATGCGGACACTGCGCAGGCCAGCACGAGCGGGAGCGATGCCCACCCGGCGTAAGGGCCCGGTGCCTTGATTGTAGCGGCGAACACACGACTGGCGATCGACAGTGTCCAGGCCCAGCGACCTCTAACCCCGCCAGATGCTAGAGAGAAACCTTCGCATTCTACAGTTGAACATGATGAAATCGGGACCGAGAATGGAGGCACTGATCAATGACCCTCAGAGCCAAGATCTGGACGTACTTTTGATCCAGGGGCCATCCATTACAACATATCGCACGCATGTCAACCACAGCGCCTGGCGACTTTATCGACCTACGACGCAGACCGATACAGTTCGATTCCGCAGCCTGATCTACGTAAATAGACGAATCTCTACCTCCTCTCACCGCCAGATACTTTGCGACCACCCAGATGTCGCATCCATTAAGATCTGGTCAGCCGACTTCCAAATCCTTCTCTTTTCGGGCTACATACCTTCAGCACCGCTTTTCATGGGTGACGACGAGTCGGCATTACCAGCCCTTACAGCAATACAAAACACTATCACGGCCGCGAGGCAAAACGAGCAGCGGTCTACAAGCATCATCCTCTCCGGAGACTTCAACCGACATCACCCACTGTGGGGCGACAATCACATCCCACCCAGATTTATCGAATCTACACCTTCCGTCCGCTCAACACTTCTACCCGCAATAAAGTGATAAATCCTAGCAAAGTCAACCTCGGGTTGATTTGGAGGCATCTCACTGAAGCAGTCTAGTCTTGTGACTTTACGCTCGAGCTATAGTCCCAAATTGACATGCTTAATGACCAGAGTAAAGATTCAGTTAAGTTGACTGGAATTTCTACGAGCATTTCACGTATATTTTTCTTCTTGTCCTAAGCTTTTCACAGATCAAATAGTCTCTCTGTGCGTCCATCAGCTGCATCAATGTAGACCTTGAATTTTGTCTGCCTTGACCTTGTTGTCTCCCGTCGTGCGAAAGAATTATGTTGAAACAGCTCGCCAACGTTGAGTGAAAAATATTGCCTGGCATGATGCCAACGTAGTCTCAAACAGTTTGATCAACCTTGTGGCTTGCTACTTTCACCAGGATATACCTTTTCACAAGGGAAGCCCAGCTCAGTGTGAGCACATTCAAGTTTTGATGGGAAAACACTTAAACTCGCTTGGTCCTCCGTGAAGTGCATTTATTTTATCCTAGAGCGTCAGAATATCACTCACTGTAAGGTGCTCCGATACTGTTTTATACTGATCTCATCCCAAAAGACGGCCAGCTTTGTACCCGATTCCCCACATTTACGTCGGCAGAGCAGTATCTGCGGATTGCTATCAGAAGATCTTCCTAGAAAGAACTGTTTGATACTGCATTTAATGCTGCACTTGATGTTACAAGTGCTGGAACGTCCGTTTTTGTCGCATTGGCGGCGTGCGAATGGGTACGTACTTTAACTTCCAATGGCCATTTGTAAAGATGCTGAACAAAGTAGGAAGCATGTTCTTCATGCCGATCTCTCCTCAAAAGTCCCGGTCACCAAAACCCCTTTTATATATTCGAAGACCGAGGAGCTAGTTTGGAAGTGGGAACAGTCAAAGCTCTGTGGCCAGAGCATCAACATCACACTCTCGTCCACCATGATTCCACAAGGTCATCCACCAAACAAAGCTGATAGCCAAGGCAAATTCGTATCCATCGAGAATGGCGTCATTCATGTTTTTCCAAAGGCACATCTCGTGAATCTGGAGCCACATGACTATCAGATCGGTATTCTGGAGACGGCGCATTCAGCAAACTCGAAGATTATCCTTCTCGGTGCGAAGAAAGAGAAACAAACAAAACGGGAACTACACCTACCCAAATTCCTGCCCTAACGTTGGAACCATATTACTTCAGCGGCGAAAATTGGTTTGGGAATTGGCGCAATTGACAGAAAGCAGACGGATGGGTGGAACAATTAAGGAGGCGCAGCAGTCTCCATAAAGACGTTTCTTAGCATAATGACACGTCGTTTAAAAAAGCGCCCGTTGCGTTCTTTCGTGCATTCCTGGAGGCCTGGCAAGGAGAAGATTGGATGCCAAGGTAGGCGCTTACTTTGATTTGCCCACGCATATTCCTAGGCAATTTCATCTGTTTTTGGAATGCAAAATGATTTACCGATTATATCCTAGCAGGATCTACGCCCCTTTCGGTTGCCCGGCCCGTCTCCCTTTAGCCTCCACTACTACGCATAAGATGAAGCAATTTCGCCCTTAGTCCTCCACGCTGACTTAAGATATGTTACCCGGTACAGAGCTCTGTCTCGCGCGCTGTAATCCCGGAAGAGAGTATGCCTAATTCAAAAATATTTTTCTCTGCTACACAAATTGTTTCCGCTATCCAACACGAACTAGCAAATGCAGCAGAGGGATCATCTGCTTATCTACTGTACTTGGTTCTGTCAACATGCAGGGTGTGCATTTAAGGATAGTTGGTATTATGATAGCCTAGTCTCACATGCTCAGCTATCTCTGTCGCTTAGCTTTAGCCTCATAACCTGAAGATGACAGTTGCTTCATTGTCGTATGGTCAGTAAGACCTTTAGTGACAGCTGCCCTATCCTCGCGTTTCTGCTTCTCCTCAGCAGCCTTCGCTGCTGCTGCTTTCGCGGCTTCTTCCGCTTTTTGCTTTGAATCTTCTTCACGTGGCATGGCAAAACACTGTGAGACTTATCAATCAGCTTATGAGATATAGTAATACGAATATGACTAAGACCTTAGAGTTTGCAGCTTTGTTTGCTACGCATAGGAAATTCCAGGTTCTGGTTTGATTTCTTTAGTGATGGAAATGAGGGGCAAGAGGGGAGGTTGAAGTAGGAGGCACTGTACGCCATTTTGTTAACGGCGGCATATACCATATACCGAACCACAAGGAAACGAGAGGGGTAAATCACGCCAAATGAGGGGTGTTTAGTTGTACTTTCGTGCAGTCTCCACCTGGTCGGTGACGTGGAGTGATACTATTCTTAACCATTCTTACTCCTCAATCAGGCATTTAGCTATTATCTCACAACTTACAGGAGAAGCTACGTGAGCCTTACAGTGAGAATTATCTAGTTTACTATTAGACGTAGTGCCAAGAACACACAAAGGCCAAAATAGTCAGATCAGGCATGATATTAATCTGAAGTATATGTTTTTGTTATTTATCTCAGTATTGTACCTTAACCTGGTATCGAATTATGAGCCTTCAGCCCTAGGAAGGAATTACATGATATCTGTGTCGCTAGGATTAAGAAGAAACCGTCTCAAATGAATCATCCACAAGGCTCTGTCTGCAGGACACTTGATCCTGTTCTTCATCTTCATCGCTTTCATGATCATAATCCAGCTGTTCACTGTTGCAAAGATGGCTCCACCACTCCTGCACCGCTTCGTGCACCCTTCGTTGCTTTCCTTCGACTTCCTCCCATGGGATACTCATAATTTGCGGAGCTGTTTTCGCTTTCGACCGAGAGTCATGCTCGATGATAAGAATGCCTTTCTCAAGCTTTCGGTCCAAGGCTTCAAGCTCTCTCCGCCAGGTAGCCAGTCGGTTGAGGATTTCGTGAGACCGCCCTTGTAGCTCTAGCACTACAACTTGTAGTTGCTCTCCACACAGTTCTA